TCCCTAATGCTTGCAAGGATATAAACAATAAGAACTCGTATTCATGACCGGTAGAAATACAAAATGGTTCAGTCACTTTGAAAGATACTTTTCCAGCTTCTTAGAAAACTGAACATAGTCATAACAAACAGTGCAGCAATCACACTGCCTGGCGTTTGCCCAAAGGAGATAAAAATTATATCCGCACAAAAACTTGCATGTGAGTTTCATACAAGTTGAGCACCTTTAATATGAACATTTGAAATCCAAAATGGTCCAAAATCCAATACTTTTTCAGTGCTGTCATGACCTCACAAGTGGAAAATTCCATATCACAAAACTTTGTTTCATACTTAAGATATTGTATAAAATTACCTTCACACTACACATATAAGGTAGTACATAAATCAATGTTGTGTTTAGAATTGGGTGCATCCCAGAGATATCTCATTATTTATATGCAAATATCCCAAAATTTAAAATCTGAAGCACTTCTTGTTTTGAGCATTTTGGACAAGGGATACTCAACCTGTGACAGCGTGACCTCATGGAGTGGCTCAAGTGGTAGGGTGCATGCCTAACAAGTGTGAGGTCCTAAGTTCAAACCTGTGACAGCTTTATTCATAACTGCCCTTATAAACTGAATATTTGTGTCTCCTTAAGATTCGTATGTTGAAATCTAATCGCCACTGTGATAGTACTTGGAGGTGGGCGTTTGGTAATTCCGCCATGAGGTTGGAGACCTCAAGAATAAGATTAATGGGATTAATGGGCTATGGTCATGATTCAAGTGGTAGAGCACCTGCCTAGCAAGTGCAAGGCCCTGAGTTCAGATCCCAGTTCCTCCAATAAATAAATAAATAAATAATGAGATTAGTGCCCTCACAAGAGGCCAAAAGGTAGCTTGTTCTATTCCTCCTATCTGAGGCTACAAGAAGTCAGCTATCTGCAACCTGGAGAACCCTCACCAGAATCTAACTGTGCTGGCACCCTGATCTTCGACTTTCAGCCTCCAAGATTGTGAGAAATAAATGTTTGTTGTTGAAACCACCCAGTCTATGGTAATTTGTTATAGTAGTATGAACTAACACAACTGCCAAAACTTGCAGGCAACTCATATGTCCTTCAATAAGTGAATGATTGATTTGATTGGGAGGTGTGTCTGTGAAGGCATTTCCAGAGAGGTTTAAGAGAAGACTTTCCCTGAATGTGGGCTACACCACCCAGTAAGCTGGTAGCCTTGATGAACTAAAAGAGGAAAAAGAGAAAGCATGCACTCTCTCTGCTTTTTGGCCTCCACCATGTGAGCTGCTCTATTCTGCCATACTTTCCCTACTGTGATGATCTGAAACTACAATTCAAAATAAATCTTTCCTCCCCTAAGTTGTTTTGTCAGGATTTTATCACAGTGATGGAAAAATCTGACTAACATGTATTCTATGGTCTAGATATACCGCAATCAAATCAATTTGATAGTCAAGATTAACCAACTCAGAATATTATTCAGAAAATAAAGCCATGGAACATCATATTATTCAGAAAATAAAGCCATGGAGAAAACTTAAATGCACATTACTAAGTGAAAAAAGATAATCTGAAAAATCTATATAAATGATTCCTACAATTTACTCCAGATGCTTCTCAACTTAGGATGTGGTATGCTCAGATAAACAAAATCCAAAATACTGTAAGTCAAAATGCATTTACTACTATGTACTCATGTATGAAAATGGAAAAATGAGACCTGTTGAAACTATTCTGAGAAGGGAGAGGGAGATAAAGGAGAATGATGGAGGGGGGTAAATTTAACTAAGATACATTGTAAGCACTTTTGTAAATGCCACAATGTAACCCCAGTGCAACAATAATATGATAATAAAAAGTTCAAAAATGCATTTAATTATACCTAACCTGTAAAGCATCATAGCACAGTACACTATAAAGTGTCTTTGTTTAGCCTTGTGAATGGCATAGCTAACTGGGAGTATTGTACTACACTCTGCTAGTCTGGCAAAAGATTAAAATCCAAAATTTCTACCAAATGCCTACTGCTTTTAGACCACTGTAAAGTCAAAAATCTTAAACCATCATAAGGCAAGTACCATCTCTCTATGAATTCTGGAAAAGGCAAAACTATAAAGACAGTAAAAGATTTGTGACTGCCAGAGACTGTAGGGTAAAGAACATGTAGAACACAAGGTACTTTTAGAGCAGTGGACACATGACATTATGCCATAAAACTGTCCAATAGAGAGAGTAAGGTGATGACAATGTTCCAATGGAGGCTCATTGATCCCAGCAAATGGCTGATACTGACAAAGAAGGAGGCTGTGGTGGCAGTGGTATACAGGAAATCTCTCCACTGTCTGCTCAATCTTTCTAACATAAAAGTGTTGTAAAACGTAAAGCCCATTAACATTTTTTTGATGTTTCTAAGTTTTGGAAATTGATAGTGGTAATGGTTGTACAACACTGTAAATGTATTTAATGATATTAAATTATATACTTAAAATGGCTAAAACATTTTGTGTATCAGTTAAAAAAAAAACCTTTAAAAAATGATTTAGAAGGCATTTTTTTTAGCAGGGTCTTGCTGCATAGCATAGGCTGGCCTTGAGTTTGTAATCCTCCTAACTCAGCCTCCCAAGTGCTGGGATTATAGGCATGAGCCACTATGCCCAGCCTTTCTGTTGCCTATATATTACCACAGTAAGAATATTTTTTTAAAAGATTAAAAATCTTCTGTTAGTTATCAACTTCCCTGAAACCTACAACCAGATAGCTATATAGCCCTATTCTCTATCTCCCTGTACAGCAAAAGACTTGTCTGTGTTTACAATCCCCATTCTCCTCTCAGGTAAGTCCTCCAAACCTCTCAAGTCCCTGTACCCAAATTTAATTCACCAGATGCCAAATGTAACAGATAGCTGTTACTCTTTATCTTTCTGATTTATCAAAAGCTCCTGACGCAGCTGACCCCTCTCTCCTGAAAACATGTTTATCCTTCGGCTTCAAAGATACTACCCTGACCTGGATCACCTGACACTTCATGGTTCACTCCACCTCAGTCACCTCTACTGGCCATCCTCTTCTCCCCTCACTTGCAATACTACCTCACTCCCAACTTCATTCTCTCCTTTAGGCATCTCATTCCAGTCTCATGTTCTTAAACGCCATCTAATGCCCACAAGTCTAAAGTCTATATCTCTAGCTCAGATGGCCTCAGTGAACTCTAGACTTGCATGTCATATTCAGCTGCCTAGATAAGTAATTCTGTTTGCTTGGTATCTGACATATCAAATTTAACCAAGGTTGATCTCCCTCATTATCCCCCTAAAATTTGTGGTCTTTCCCATTTCGGTTAATGACAATTTCATTTCTCTAGTTGCCCAGATCGAAATCCCTGGGATTATCGTGGACTGCCTTCTTTTTCTCACAGCTTAAACCCAGTGCACAGCTACATATCCCAAATCAAACCACATCTCGCTACCTCCACAGCTTTCTTCCTGACCTGAACCATCTCTTGTTGAGACCATTGTGACAGTCTCCTAACTTCCCTGCTTCTGTTCTTATTTCCAATTATTCTTGGCACAGTACTGAAAATGGTCTTTTAAAAAAGGAAGTTGTAACATTTCTGCTCTATAATGGTTCCCCCTTTCACTGAAAGTAAAAGCCTTTCAACAGCCAAGAAATCTCTTCACAGCATGAAGAGAGCACGGCCTCCTGTACTCTGACCACACTGCCCATTTTTCTTCACTCTTGCTTAGCTCCAGTCTCAGGAGCCTCCTATTTATTGTTCCATCTCTTTTGTTCAAATACCATCTTTTCAGTGAGGCCTACCTTGTCCACCCTAGCTAAAGGTGGAACCCTCAACTTGAGGGAATACTCACTCCTCCTTTTAACTTGCTTTTTTCCCTCTTAGCATTTATCATTCGAATATAGCACGTGATGGTTAAACTTGATTGTCAACTTGACTGAATCGAGATGTCCAAGAGATTAGTTAAGCATGGTTGAGGGCATTTCCAGAGACTACTCACATGGGACGGCAACTGAGGGAAACATGCCCTGAACCTGGGCAGCAACGTCCAACAGGCAGCAGGCCTGGGTGGAACGCAAGTGGAAGGAGGAGCTCATTCTTCCCAAGTGAGTGTGTTTGTCGCTGCTGCCATCACATGTGGACATCAGACACCACCTTCCTAAGCCTTTTAACACAGACTCACACCAGCAACTGCCAGGGAGCTCCCAGGCCTTCAGCCTTACACTGGGGCTGCATAATTGGTCCCCCTTGTTTTGAGGCTCCCAGCTTCCTGGACTGAGCAGGTGCTAGATATTCCAACCTGCAGATGGCCATGCTGGGCTAGACAGTCTCCAATCGTGAAAGCAAACCTAATAAATCCCCTCTTATAATTATATATATTCTTTTAGTTCTGTTTCTATAGAGAATCCTAATACACCATATATTACCTTATTTATTATGTTTATTGTACGTTCTCCTCCCCACCTTTAAACAATAAGCTCACAGACACCCTGACAGTTCTGACTCCTAAAACTGAATGTCCTGATTGCCTCTCAAAAATAATGATCATTAATGATAATTTCTGAAGAGCCAGCCAAGCCCTGGTCTGTTCAGTCTCTCTATTTAAGATCTAATAAGGCCTATCCCAATGCTGGCTGAGTTTTAAGCCTGAAAATGATGGATAGGAAACTTTACTTCCTCAAAGGACATAGCCAAATCTTGCTAACAGTATCAGAATACTCTTGATTAAGACATGTGAACGTCAAACATCATTTGAGTTTTCTACAGCAGACCTACCTGTACTACATAGTAGCCTTTCATTTGGATGACACCTAAAAAGAGAGCACACCAGATTTCTCAAGAAGCTAAACAAAAACAGACAATGCATTGGGCCCAAATAAAAAGAAAATGGTAGCTCCAAGAGTCATCCCAGGACTGGAAGTTATTCGATTCTAGAATCTACTTTTTACACTGGTTTTAGTTCTCTTAGGATTAAGCCACATACCTAGAAGCATCAAGGAATGGTCTGTGGGCCAAGTTTATCCATTCTTCTCTATTGGATGAATATTTTGGCTCCCGGGGTGTTTCTCTCATGGTGTCCAAATCCACTAAATAATGGCACTTACTGATATCAATCTGAAATGGAGAAAGGCCAAATCTTCATCAGCAATTGCAAAGATCCCTGCAGGGTAGGGAACATCAATTGCAATTTTAAGAATTCCCACACGACTTTAAAGGAACAAACATCTAAGTCCTCAAACAATGTTACCTGTGCTTTCTCTACTCAGATAAGAGCATCAAAGGCCAAGCATGGTGGTGCACTCCTGTAATCCCAGCTACTTGGGAGATCAGGAGGATCACAGTTAGAGGCCAGTCCAGGATGAGTCTCCATCTCAACAAACAAGATGGGCATGGAGGTACATGTCTTTATTAGCACCACGTTCTAACCAACTGAGCTAACCGGCCAAATAAGGTACATGTCTTTAATCGTGGCTTCAGAGGAGGTGAAGCTAGGAGGATCATGATCCAAGGCTAGCCTGCGTGAAAAGTGTTAGACCTTACCTGAAAAATAACTAAAGCAAAAAGGGCTAGGGACATGGCTCAAGTGGTAGAGCACATGCATAGCAAGCACAATGCCCTTAGTTTAAAAAGGGAAGAAAGGAAGGAAAGAGGGGGAGGATGGAGAAGAGGGAGGTCTACAAACTTACAAGTGGAAGGAGACATGATAAATCTGCTGGGAAATAATATAGTAGAGTATCATCAAGAACTTATAGCAAAAGATTTTTTAAACAAGACACGACTATAAAAAGAAATGATGAATGACTACATTAAAAATGAGAATATCTGTTCATCAAAAGACATCACAGAGAGAGTGAAAAGATGAACACAGGAGACATGCCACACACTTAGCAAGCCTCAAGGATTCAAATCTAGAACATATAAAGAACTCTGGGTAATCAATAAAATACAGACGAACACCCAATAAAAAATGGGCAGATTACTTGAAGGTATTTCATAAGACCTCTGAATGGCTGAAATAAATGAAAAGTACTCAACCTCACTAGTAACCAGGAAATGCAAACAAAAGCATGACAAGCAACTGTAAAGCAAATGTAGCCATATGCAACATGACAACTACACGTGGATGGCAGGAGGTTACTGTGGTATAAAATTTTTAGAAATCTATTTGGTAGAATCTACTACAATTGAATATGTATATGTCCTGTGATCGAATAATCATAGGAAATGATTTAATATCTAAATCTAGGTAGTAAACCACATCATATGGAATATTCGATGTTTGATTTGCAAAAATGGTAATTTCATATAGTTTAACCTAAAGTATGTCTAACAGAAATGTCTGCACCAAAGCAAAAGTTCAAGAATGTCCTAAATGATATTATAAACAGTTGGCCCAGATTGAAAACACCAAATATCCATTAAAAATAAAATAATCAATTGTGCTGTAGCCATACGATGCACTGCATACTGACAGAAGAAAACAAACTACAGCTATATGCAATAATGTTAAATTATTTAAATATAATGTTAGGAGAAAAATCAAGACACAAAAGAGTAAATGTAGCATAATTTGAGTAAAATGAAGCTAAATTGTTTAGGGATACATGTGAAATGGCAAGGGAAAAGTGAGGTTGTCACTACCAGGCAGTCAGCACACTGGCTCCAAAAGAAGTGTAAGAGTGATCAAAAGAAATAACTGGGGAGTTCTGGGTCCTGGAACGTTCTATTATTTGATCTAGATGATGGCTGCACAGGAATTAATTATTATCTATATGATAATTAAATTATTATTAATGTACTGTACCCTTTTATTTTCTACATATTTAGGTTTAAAAGTTGTACATGTTAAGAGATTTTTAAAAAGTGCATAAAAGAGCAACATGGCCATTGCTGGCTTACAGTAAACTGTTCTTTCCCCACTGCCACCTCACAGCAATGCTCCTGTTCTCTCCCAGCATTATTTATATGTAAAAAGGACTTCAGTCTCACATCTGTCTCTACATATGGGCTATTCCTCCAGGGGACAGAAAGCACACTGGGCATTGACGTCAGACCCAATTCCATTCCACATAACTCTCTAAAAATGGTCCTTTGCATAAACACTTCAGGAAGTAGCCTTTTTTGTCTGAACACCCACTCTCGCTCCCAAACACTGTAGGACACGAAATGAGTTTTGAAAGGCTTTATGGTGTCATGCCTCTGTCAAACAGAATCAGCAAAGGCAAGGATTATTATGGCTCCATGCATACAGTCCTGTCTGGAGAGGCCCTCAGGTGACAATTCAATTCTTGACCTCAGCCTGGCCTTCTCTACCAGGCACACTCCTGGTATAGCTATTGAGATTTGGTGCTGCATACACAGTCTACCACAGATGTGGGCGGTGACTAATTAGTACCCAACTGTACCAGTCAGCTTAGGCTTTAGTCATCACATTATCCATAAGTAAATTCCACTTAAATTCTTTCTAAGTAAATGTCTTACAAAGATACCAAGGCAAATCATACAAATTGAGATACTAATCCATCAAAAATTTTAGCCTCTATTTCATCCTTTGGGAAGCAGCAGCAAAAACTAAAACACACTTGGACAAAGGACCCCAGAAAACCATGGTTAGGTCTCATCAAGGGCAGGGTCTTCTTTAGAGAAAAAACAGAAACTCTTTAGAAAAGGAACTCTAAGTCAGAACGCCTAGATTGAGCCCTGGGTGCTATCACAAACTAGATGGGTAACCCATACTCATTTAAGTATTTTTATGCCTCAATTTTTTTTTCTGTAAATTAAACATACTACCATTTACCTCCTGAGTTGTAACGAGGATTGAATGAGATGAATCATTTAAATAAAACTTGTAAACTATGGAGGATTACTCAAATAGCTGGAATATCAAAAGGAGTATCTATCTGACTGGTAGAAAAGAACCCTGAAGCATCAGAGCCCCAAGAAAGTGAATTACTATTTCAACCTTGACTGGTGTCTACTATCAATTCAAGTTAAACCTAACACATTAGATGGAAGGGTTGCAACTTAAACCACTCACACTATATGATTAAAAATGAATTAGCAGCATTCACTGAATGGTTTCAAAAATCAATCCTCTGGCCAATCATCACAGTATTTATTAAGCAACTGCTTGGTGAATCCTAAATTAAAGACTATAATATGTAAGACATGTCTCTGTTCTCAACCTTGCAATTTAGATCAGAAAATGACATCAGCACATATGAAATACACACAAAATCAGAATTCAGAAGAGATCACCAAGGGCTACAGTAGTTGAGAAGATGTCCTCGAGATGGTGGTAAAATTAGAACAAAGGGGGAAAGGCCCAAATGAGCAGGGTTTACAGGGAAACAAGAGGAAATCTGCTATTCCCAAAAAGGGTGTGCTGAGAAAGAAACCAGACAGAGTGTCTAAGACTAATAATGGACAACCAAAGGAGGAGAATCTAGGTCTTGTGCATTAGCAAGCTAGGTTTTTTCAACCAAGCAAGTAAGATGATAAAAACTGGGTCTTAGGATGAGCAGTCACATTTGCTTACCCCTATAATCCCAGCTATTCAGGAGGCAGAGATTGGGAGGATCGTGGTTTGAGGCCAGTCTGGGCAGAAAGCGCAAGACCTTATCTGATTTCATCTCACTCCTGTTAGAATGGCTACCATCAAGAACACAAGCAACAACAAACATTGGTGAGGATGTGTGGGAAAAGAAACCCTTATACACTGCTGGTGGGAATGTAAATAAGTACAACCACTATGGAAAACAGTTTGGAGGCTTCTCAAAAAACTAAAAATAGAACTGCCACATGACCCAGCAATTCCACTCCTAGGGATATACCCGAAGGAATGTGAGTCAAGTTCAACAAAGGCACCTGCACAACCATGTTTACTGCAGCACTATTCATAACAACTAAGTTATAGAAATTTGCCCTACTACTGGAATGGATTAAGAAATGTGGTATTTATACACAATGGAATTTTATTCAGCTACAAAGAAGAACGAAATTTTGTCATTTGCAGGTAAATAGATAGAAATGGACAACATTATCTTAAGGCCAAAAGCCACATGTATTCTCTCATATGTAGAATATAGGCCTAATACAAATACAGCAATATTATGAAAAACAGGTCACGCTAAGGGGAGGTCACATACAAGAGGGGGAGGGTAAAAGAAAGAAGTTAAGGTAAATATGGTTGATGTATTCTCTACACAAGAATGAATATAGAATTTTTAAACCTGTTGAAATCACCATAACAAGGGGACTAAGAAAGAAGAAAAACAGAGTTGATGAACCAATTTGGGTTACATTACGTATATACGTGGAAGTATCACAAGGAAACTCTCTATGTAGCTATCTTAAACAAACGAAGATGTCATTTTTTTTTTTCATTTACAAAATTGGGGAACAAGAGGGCAGTTCAAACCCCAGGACCAACAAAAAGAGAAAAGTAATAAGAAAAGCAAAGGATATACATTGTCTACACTGGGGAGGACACAGCAAGGAAGTGTGGGAGGGCAAGCTGAAGCAAGCACTCCAGTTACTAATGCAATGTTGAGATGGGAATTGATAAAATGCTTTCTTGAATTTCTAAGGCAGTAGGAATGAAAGAAGAAAGGGGAAATATCTCAGATCTACTTCAAAGGAAAGCAATGACACCAAGATTTCTAGCCCAGAGAACTAGGAGGGAAGGGGTTACAGTGAAGAATCAGTTTGGGTGTGATAGAAAAAAGATGACAGTCTTACATCTACTGGGGAGGGAAGAAGCTTGGTGTATCTGAATAAATGGAAGAAGTTCACTTTGACTCGAAAACAGAGCTGGGGAGCTGCTTTCTCAACACTCTCTGCTGACACCTCATAAATTCCTAGTTATCCTTCAGATTTCAGCTAAAAATGACTTTCTTAGGAAAGACTCTCTGACCACTTAAACTAGGACAGGACCCCAAACCACAGGCTCTTAGAGCAGCCAGTACTTCTCAAAACATTCCAAAATTGTAATCTACAAATTAGTTAGGAAATTCATTGTGAACTCAATAAAAAACTGAGGTTGTGTCTATCTACTCCTACATTCCAAAAAACCCTAGCACAGTACAAAACACAGAGTAGGTGCTAAATAAATA